ATCTCCAGTAAAAATTACTAACCCACTAACCCATAAAAAAAAAAAAAAAAAAAAAAAAAAGGTGTTTGGCTTTATTATTCATGTTCTCAGGAAGTTCAGTGGTTATCAAACTGCTTGAGAAATGGTTCCCACTTTGGAGCCATAAATAAAACTTCTATTCAGAAATAGTGTAATAAAGTGTGCCACGGGGACATAGGAAGATATGTTTTATTTGTTGTTTGTTTTCCTTGGATTTGGGAAGATGCTAGAGATAGATGAGTTTCTGTAAAGTGCCTTGGATATGCAAACTTAGGTTAGACGTCTGGGTAAATACAGAAACACTCAAAGAAATAAACCGAAAACCACAAAACAAACATTTACAACCATATGCTTCTCCGTGGTACCATCAATGAAATTCCTCCTCTAATGAGCCGGGATAAGCAGCTGCAAACTCAGATGGGAAATGGGGCATCACACACTTGCAAACTGAGCTTGAAGGACAGGCTTATCTGGAAGATTTGCAGATGCTGTTCATTGGGTTCATCCCATAAGTGGCCAACTTCCTCAAAAATCACCACAGTCTGTTTAAGCTAACTAGTTCCAGATTGCCCTTAAAAGAATTCTTCTCTGCTCTTAGGTGGAACATAAAAATGCAAAACCTTAGCATCAGCAAGAGGAGCAGAGGGGAGGGGAAATATCTCCGTGTAGAAGTCAGGAAAACTGTGTACTGTCTCTCTTAACCTTCACCCTATCATCCTTTGCTTTCCCCTTACTTACACTTTCCATCTGTCAACAAGTGCTTGTAATTTTATTACACTGTCCTGTAGTTTACACAGAGTTGGGATTATTTTACGGAGTTCTGTTAATGGACTGGATAAACGGTAATGCTATTTAAACTAGTCTCCTGCTCCAGCCAGCACAGCTGTGAGTGTACTACTATTTCTGAGCAAACATCTTGACCTGAACATGCAGTGCTCTCTCAGCCCTTCCAAAGCGAAATTGGAGCAGACAGCAAAGGGAAAGCATATTTGGCCGCTAGCAGCAATCAACCATGTCGAATCATAACTCACATACAGTGTACCCTCTTTTTCTGTTATATCAAAGTTAGGGTCAACAAAATGCATGTGTGCCTGGCATTTCATTTTCAGCCAAAATTCAGATGGTGATTATTCATTATAAAAACTCAAAGAAATCTGCATAACACCCAAGTTATCAAGGTAATTTTCACCTAGGCAGACAATGTTAAAATCAAATCGCAGCTTGTAAACTATATAATAAACTGGTTAATTATCTTGGCCGGTAATATGTAGTGTATTAAGTAAAGTATTCAATTAGTAACAAAGAAGTAGATATCACAAATGAGCATCATTTATGAAGAAAAAAATAGATTTTTCAAGTACTTTTTGCCTGTTCTGTACATGTGCTTATTTCTATCATGTCATTCAGCCGGGCAACAATAAAACAACTATACATATGAGACAACTACTAAAATATTTTCCTTATTCTGATATCCCTTCCCTATTATTTGTCAGAATTCCTATGTCTCTTTTCTCACTCAGTCTTCTTATACTATGATTCATTTCTGAAGGAGCATTTCAAAGGATACTTTGTGTGTGGATTTGAACACATTTTTCCATCTTCTACAATATTTATTTGAAGTGAGCAACTAGGCACCTGTATCATATAAAGGGTAAAACAATGAACCTATGGCATTGACCTTCGTAGGTATACTAGCCCAAACGTGGCAGTCGGATTTACAAGCTTTTGCCCTTACACTTACTAAAAACTCTTAATGCTGGTTGTTTAACTTTATTGGCTTTAGTATCATTTAAAATACTCATATGTCGTTTATTATTTTTCCTCTCCAGCAAAATAACACTGCTAATAAATTATCCGTAACTATCTAATTCTTGCAACTCATAGGATCCTCAGTTTAAAAGAAGGAAAAGTATTTCTGGTTTGAATGTACAGATAACAATCACATTTCCATGACAGTGGTCCCAACAATTAGAAGGGTAAGTCAAGAGATTGCCTCAGTTTGAAGCTAGCAAGAGGTAAATAATAAGTTCTAGGTTAGCCTGGCCTACAAAATGAAAGAAAAAAAAGCATATATAAATGAAAACAGGAAGGATGAAAAGAAAAAGGGAGGGAGAAAAGGAAGCAGGGAAGAAAGGAGGAGGAGATGAGGGAGGGAAGGAGAGAAAAATAAACATCTGTATTTCTATTTAAAGGAAATGTCAACCATCAAATAGAGAGCAAAGCTCTATTAATATTAACCATGATGTCATGAAGGGCTGGGATTAGGAATACCACAATATTTAAATCTATATTATAGCCATAAATATGAACAATTAAAATTGGTAGCTTACATACTCTCTGGGGAAAATTATTTGGGCCAAACAAATAAATATCCCAAGCATATTTTCTAATTTCTTCTTCTGCCTTTTGAACAAGCCTTCAAGTAATTCAAAAAATTTGTCACAATCTTATGAGGTCTGACACCTTTTCAAGTCACTTCTCATAATTTTCATGTGTCCCATAATATAGAAGGTTCAGAAAAGTATAAAATCTTAAATGAAGGGAAGTCTTTTTGTCCCACTCTGTAATATTGTCAAAAAGGTCTAAATGCCAACTTGCATAATTTGCTGGTAGGAACTTCTACAAGCCATAAAAAAAAAACTGGGAAAATCAATCCAAGTACTTCTAAAGAAAATATTGAACACTCTTATTTCTCAGAGAGACCACTATGGTCACTTCATACATTTTTCATAGTACAACTGATAACAGACAACAACCATTCCATTTAAGTTCGTTTCTGCAGTACAAAAGAAACACTTCAAAGGTACTGTGTGCTGTTTTTATATGCACACAGCTAGCAAAGTCACAGGTTAGGAATTCATTTCTTATGGTTTCTTCAGTCCCCAACAATTAAAGCAGAAAAGGGATACTATTTAAAAACAAACTTGGCCATTATAACACTGACTGCAATGATTTAAATATGTTTCAATTGATATATATCTATGTAGGTAGATAGTAGGAAGATATAATTTTATAGCATGCTACATCTTATTTCCTTGGGGAAAAATATTCCTTAGATATTATTTGTTAAGAGAAGTTCCTTTGATTTATAAAAACACACTTGAGTAGGACCCATTAAACAGCAGAGCTCACAAACATGAGAAATAAAGCCAGTTATTCTGGCTTTCCTTAGGAAAATGATGTCAGGAAAAAAAGGAGATGTGGGGTGTCAGGTGGGAATGGTGTTTGTATTGTGAAATGAAGTATCAGAGGAGTGACCTAGCAGACATTCTGTTTCCAGTGAGGGTGGTTATGAAAAGACACTCCAACACTCACATACACTTCTGGAACTGATAACAACAATACTGAAATTATAGGCTACAAAGCTTTGGCTACAAAATGAAATTCGGAAGACGGTGATGTGTTCACTTTCCTTGCAAACACTTCCATATGGGACTTTCCCAGCATGCAGGTGGGACTGCTCCAGACAACTTACTCTACATATCCCAGCCGTCATTTCACAGCATACATGAATATCGATAATCATTGCTATTTATTTTTTCCAACACTTTGTAGTGTATCTGCCATCTGCACCATTCACACAGCTGAAAAATCTAATTTTCAAAGCTTTCATAAATGTGTTTTCACCATTACACATTAGGTCAGTGAACAAGCATTTGGGGAGGAAAAACTGATTTTACCTAATACTCACAATGTGCTTTGTTAAAAGAACAAGTTCCCTAACAGTCTATGAGGCATTTTGATGTGAAAGCCTTGCCTTCCAGCAGTTCACTTTTCAGAGTCTGTAATTCTGGCTTCAAAAGAAACATTTATGAGAGAATATACAGCTTTAAATGCCTTAGGGTAGATGATATCAGCAACTAAAAAAACACTATTCCTCAAGTTCAGAAACAATAAAAAAAAAAAAAAAAAAAAAACTACCAGAAAGAACACCAACTTTACAGGTAACACTGTCAACTTCCTTTAAAAGTGGAAGAACAGTAGCATTTTCCCCTTCCAAATTCAAAGTTTCCTTTGAGCACGCGGTAAACCTCTGTGTTACACCATAACCAAAACAACCAAGAAGAAAGCAAGTACAATAACACATACCTAAACCACAGAGAGCGGCATAAACAAAACCACTGGAACCACTGAGGAGCTTTTATTTATTTCCGAAAGGAAAAGGGCAAACTTTCAATCTAGGAATCTATGAACACATGGATTTCCGGAAAGTGCAAGAAAACACCCAAAACACTATTAATAAAACACAGGGTCAACCCAAGCAGCAGCAAGCATTTGTGTGTACTTACAGGCGGTAGAGCTTCGCAGTCCCCAGAAACAGCAGCTCAGGGAACAATTGAAGGTTGTTTCTGTTTAACCGCCTTTGGAGAGAACGGAAAAAGAAAGAAAGAAAGAAAAGACAGAGCTTATGTTAACAAAGTTGTTGTGCTTTGGTCGAGTTATATCTCATCCTGCATTTCTAGAAACAATGGAATGACATTCAAGGGAATCTAAGCATTGCCCATCAAAAGTTGGTTACCCCTTTTTGTTACATGACTGCACTTTTTGTTAAATGGCTACACCTTCTGTTACATGGCTACTGCAGCAATTTTCCATTGTGCTTATTCGGATGATGATTACTGGGACCTAGATCCTAAACTCAAAGCCCCTGCAATATCACACAAGCAGAATACACAAGACGGACTAGGATTTCCTGACTCAGACACAACTTCAATAGAGGATAGTCATTATTAATACAGTAAACTGTATTAAAAGAATTCATACATTCCTGAATGGCCAAAATTTCCATCCAAGGAACTACTAGTAAATAGGAATTTCAATTTTATTCTCTATTTATTTAACTGGGAGCAGGGCAAGAGTCAGTGTCTATAGGACGTTTTCCCAGGTAAAAGCAAAGTACAACAAAGCTCAAACCTCAATCCACAGTCCTTGACCTATAACTGAATTGAATTAGTTTCTGTGCGGTTAAGTAATGTTTCAAAGGTTGCACTGCTTTTGTCTTTTAGATGTTTTGGGTAAGAATTAAATTTCAGCTCTAAGAAAATGTGATCTATTTTTTAGTTCACTGGGAATGTGAACATCTATTAGAGAAAGTAAGAAAATGCTATTATTGATATACTTAAAATCCAACCCTACCTGTATATTTGAATATTTTAATAATTGAGTATTAACAGCCTTCTTTTCTGCTTTTCCCAAATCTAAATATATTGATAAGTGGCCAATGGGAAACATCTACATAAATGGTGCACAAGTTGCTTGCCTCCCTCCAAGAACAATGTCACCTTGAGAACAGCAGAAACATGGCTACATCTTCAGGATAGATGTTAATGATGTCCTGATTTACTTAAAGGCTCATCAGGTTGAATCAAAAGGACACTAACTCAGTCTCCATCAGGCCAGTGATAATACTTGCGTCCTTTCTCAAAGTTACCCTAAGGCATGAAGACCCGCATCCAGAAACTCTCCACTTGTAATTCCAGACAGTGGCTATAGGCATTTTTCTTTGCCTGAAAAGAACAGTCCAAAAGCAGGGTCTACATCTAAGTGAGCTGCCGAATGGGTGAGAGGCAGGTATTAAGGACGAACGGAGGTTTGGCTACCTAAACACCTTAGGAAGCTGCTCATCTACAAAATCCAGACCATGTGTTCCAAAGTACATAAAAGGCAAAGAGGAAAATCAGTGGTGAAAGAGCAGATTTAGTCCTGCTCGTGCACTAATTTTTATGAATGAACCACAGAATAAGGCTAAAGTGAACCCAAAACTTCTACATTTTTTTTTCTTTCGTGGGCATGGTTCTGAGGGAAAAGTACTTTCAACATCCATCATTTTCCACTTTTAAACAAAGTAACTTAATTGTGATTTTGTTATGATAGAACCTAAACATCATTCACAAGACATCTAAAATAAAATCATTCTCAAGCATCTAAAAAAAATTACATTCTGTAATAGTGACAATGCTAATTTTTTTCTCTTGGGGAGCCAGAGTTCTTTGGAGGATGTGTACACAAAATGCCTATCCTGAGCTCTACAATGACAGACACAGGGTTTCTTAATCTTCTCCCAAGCAATGGATTAACAGAGCTCAGCTGATTCTTCAGCCCAAATAGGCATGCTTCTTCAAGACTCAAAATGACATCCTGCAAGAAGCAGCTGTCTATAAAAAGCTTTCCCTTCCCACCAGACAGTGGTTTCTTACATCCTCCGTGAAGCTCTAGCTATCCTCGGTAAACTCCATACTTCCATTGGCTGTGTCCCCAAAGCATTTGATGAGACCCTCTTGCACTATATTATATTGACTCATGTGCTGGTCTCTTTCCCACTGGGCTATGAGCGCCTCAAATGTGAAGACCGATCTCTGTGTTCCTTCTCTCTCTGGAACTCGCTAGGTTTGAACTGTATTAGAAGACAAAGCAATCTTCTGTTCTCACTCAGCACTCCTCAAGCTTTTCTGGCGTTTAGGAGGTTCTTATTGTGCACAGTGAGAAGGGACTGCTCTCTTTGCATTTTGATACAGTTCAGTAAGAACCCAGTATATTCACTTGACATTAGGACCACTTTGCTTTGGTATACTCCCTGAGCCACTAGTCACTACCCAGCTAACCAATTCTCTGCCACCCAACATGCTTCTACATACTCCAAATCTGCCCTTTCTTCTTCTCCTGCCAACTACGTATTCTCAGCATCGTCTAAACAGCAGAAGGAATTCAGTGTGCTTAAATAAACCCAGTATCTCAGGGACCAACAGCTTTTTCCTAAAGTTCTTGTTAATACACTAGCAAAACTCCATATATTATGTGAAAGTAGACATTTAGGCCATGGCACGTGCAGTGTCTTTCTCTTTATTGATGTATCCCTTTTCACATTACCAGTGGTTCTTAACTCTCACCAAAAACAATACCTGATGTGAATTAAGCTATGTGGATTACTTCATTCCCTTGTCCCAACATCCTTACAAATGAGCAGCACTCCACGCAGTTTGGTGAGAAAGCTACCACTCAAAAGTAGAGGTAACCTGGTGGTATAATTCCATACATGGAGACTCACCATTTCTGCTCCTCAGCAGTGCTTCAGAGTAAAGTAATGCTGAAAGATTCCTTGAGAACACCACAATTCTATGGAGTCTATTTCTTAAATATCTTTGAGTTAATCAAATGAAAATGAGTGCAATTCAGTTTTTAAAGGACACTAGCTGTGGAAGGCTGGCAAGATTGCTCAGTGGATGAGGTGCTTCCACTCAAAAATATAAGCCTGACAATGTGAGTTTGATTCCTGGAAAATGTACAAAAGTAGGAGAGGCTAGAGAGATGGCTCAGTGGTGAAAGAGCACTGGCCTTCTTCCAAAGGACCCTGTTTCAGTTCTCAAACCCCGTATGGAAGCCCACAACTGTCTCTAACTCTAATTTCAGGGGACCAAACACACTCTCACAGACATGCATGCACACCAAACACCAATGTGCATGAGATAAAAAAAATAAAATAAAATAAATCACCTTTTAAAGAAAAAGATGTTGAAGGAAAGAAGCCAATCCAAAAAGTTGTTCTGTGGCTTCCACATGCACACATAAGCACGCAGAGCTCCTTGTGCAGGCAGGAACACACACAAACACACACACATAAACCATGTGCGTGCACACACACACTAGTAATTTGTTCTGAATTTAGTTATTTGTCATGGAAGTGAATTTGTCTAAAATAATCATGATATATTTTATTTTGAACATGATGCAAGGCAATGTCACACAAAATGGTAAGTATATTAGAGGAAGTAGAATATATAAAGGCAAAAATTGAAAATTTAGCTTTGATGTTTTTTCTAAAAACAGAATGTGTCTATGTTTGGCTCTTGTTTTCCTTCATCAGTAATAAGGTAAATGGACAGAAAACATTTCATTACAAAGTCACCAGACTCCTTCAAGTTCAATGGATTCAAGTAAGGATTCTTGTAAATATCAGAAGTTAAATCCTTAAAGGGCATTTTTTTAATTCTACAATTGCTTTAATGGCTTTTAAAACACAAAACAATCACAGAAGAAGAACTAGAGAAAAAGCAATCATGTCTCTAACATTACAAAGAAAACACGATAGTGACTTAGAAGAGAGTGTTGTGCTGTGATCTCCAATATAAATGAGCTGACATTTCAAGTGATGGTCCCAGGACATGAAAACAGTGAAAGAGTGTTGCATAAGATTATTGATGGGAGCCATACAAGGTACTCAGTTGTGCCCAAGGACAGATGACAGAGCATAGTCACACGAGTTCTGAGCCATCACCCTGAGAAACAGTCTGCTCACAAGATCTGAGGACCATTTGAGGATTCTCTGGATGGTGAGTCATGCTTTTTAGAAAGATGTGTGTGCTATGTTTCTTTGAGACAGTTTTTCTTAGGCCATAGATAATTAAAGATATTACATCTATGCCACCTGCAGTTTCTGAATATGACTTCTAGATGAATGAGTGATCTCAGAGCTATCAAAACACTGCAGGCCTCTGAAATGCTGATTATCAACTACCTGGATCATGAGTGAGACACTTTTCTAAACTATTTTCTCCTATCTGCTCCTGTGATTTATTATTTGATGGACGCTATAGCATCTTACATTTCTCAGTTTTCATATCAGCTCAATTAATATTTTACCTCAATATAGCCTTCCATCTAATTCAAATTTCAAACTTAAACAGTTTTAACAACTCCTGTGAAAAACATATGTTTTTGTATTCACAAATCAATGTAAATATACTTAGGTATCATGCCTACCCAGAATTCAGCAAATGTTGCTTTAAAATGTACCATTGCTCCTCTACTCTTCATACATAAATAATCAATGCTAAGACTAGTTACTCTCCCTTTGACTCTCCAGATGAAATTTCTACTTGTCACTTAAAACATCATTTTTTTGACACTTGTAAAGTAGGCATTTTTATCTATCATAAAACTGAAGTTTATATTTTAACAATTTATCATCTAGCTTGTTTCATATAGCTGAAGGTTCTTTATTATTATTTTCAGCAGCACTCTTGATGAGTTCATCCTCTGTGCTCTATGTTAGGGAAGCCAATACTTTTCAATTAAAAAAAAATGCTGTTTCTTGCTCTCACTCTTCACTTTATGTTACTCTACATAGTAAAAAAGAATATGTAATACTTTCTAAGAAAATATAAGAAAAACTATATACTTTCTTTGTCTCTTCTGATCCCATGAAGAAACTTAAAGTGAAAGTAACAAACATAGATGAATAAACATCATATATTAGGATACAAACCATCCTTAAATCCAACTATTGAAAAAGAAGTTGTATTAAAAACCGTAGATGCCATTCTTTAAGCACAGTTACCATGCATTCCAAGAAATTATGTATATT